CTCCCCACCTTGGGATTTGTCCCGCTCTCCTGGAGTCACCAGGGAAGCAGCACCTAGGAGGGCTGGCAGGTAGGGAGCTCACCATCTGAATACCCCTCAGCCTACTTTAGGGCCCCAAAAGGAAAGGTCCCATTCCCTGCACATACCTCTGGGTGGTGGCTAAATTGTCTCTCAGAAGCCATGGGTAGGGAAGGGGAAGGGGAGAATGAAGCAATATGGCACCTGCTGATCGGCTCTGGTCTGCCTACTGGGAGGTGCCCCAAGTGAGCTGGGAGCCCAGTGTCCTGTCCGCGAGAGGCTCACCACTCACTAGAGGAAGCCGTCTCTGGGCTGGTGTTAGCAGGTCTCCTGAACTGCTCAGGAGCCCACCAGCAGTCCAAGATGCAAGGGAGGGGAAATTTAACTGCTTCACCTACTCTTGTCACTGGTCTCCAAGCTTCTCAGGGGCCTTTCTCCTTCCAGTTCTCCTCCGCAACTTCTTCCCATGGAGTCTCCTGTAGTTTCAGGCACCCTTCTTTCTGACCCTCATCTGGTCTATGTTTGTCTGCCTGTTTATTTTTTTTCACTTTCTTCTAAAATCTATCTTTCTTGCAGAGACACTCTGGCTGGTGGTTTTTCTCGTCCACCATCTTGCCCCCCCAACCTGAGACTCTATATCTAAAAAAAAAAGAAAAAAAAAAGAAAAAGGAAGTAGGAACTATAGATGATGGATATGTTAAATTGCTGACCTGCAGAAGTCATTTCACTATGTGTGTCATATATATATCAAAACCTCATGTTGTACACTTTAAATTTACACAATAAAAAGTTGAACCTTAGTAATAATCTTGGAAACACTAATTAAAACAATGATAAAAGATAAAATATCTTTTATAACAAGTGATTTAATTTTCTAATTAATACCAATGTGTTGGACATTTTCGTACAATCTTAATTGGGGATAAATCGATATAACTTTGCAATGCAATTTGTTAGTATATACTGAGAGCATTAAAATGCTATGCCTCTTTACTAAGTTATTTCCACCTCAAGAGAACAGAAATGTGATTATTAACCACTTGGTGAAATTTTGGGTTGTTTTTATTTTTATTTACATGTTTTTTATTTTACTTTCTATATAATATACAGGTAATATAAAAACATTTTAAAATGAAAAAATAATCTATTAATTTTACATGAAAAACTTAGATAACCTAACAACCAAACTTCTAGGAAAATAATTAAACACTATGTTAGTACAACTATGAAGTTGCACTAGGTTTAGCCAAGCCCTTAGGATAAATAATTAAACCTGCTTGAGTTAGGACAAGGAATACTTTACCAACAAGCACAAGATTAAACTTGCCAAATAGTTGCATGGAGGGAAAGATATTCTTTAAGGAAAAAAAAAAAAACTTAGGGCTTAAAAACAGTGTTCCTTAAACTGTGATGTAAGTGTATATCCTAATTATCTGGAGTCATTTTTTATAATGTGCATCTTTGAGTGCCAACTCAAACCCACTAAATCAAAACCCCTGGGCACAGGGCATAAATGCCTGCTGTGTACCTGGCTCCAAGGATGGTTCTCATGCACAAAATTTGAGAACCACATTACAGAAAAGTAAAGCAGTATGACATGCTTTGGAAACTGTAGATAATTTAGTGCAACCGAATTATAGGTTACAGGAAATGAGAGATGAATCTGGAGGGGAATGTCATGGTTCACTCATAAGAAGTCTTAAATGACATGCTAGGGGCTTGGACAATAACGTGAAAATTCCACCAGCAACCACGCAAGAGTTTTAAGCAAAGTAGTAACCTGATCATATTTTTTTTCCAGAAAAATTACCCTGGCATCAGTGTGAATGACTGGATATGGAATAGACATAGACAGGAAGGGAAATTGGGGAGTGATTCAATTTTTCTGGCATAAGATAAGGAGAATTAGAATATATTTAAATAGATGCACTTGGTGACCAATTGAATATGTGGGTGAAGGGAGAAGAAAAAGTTTTGGATGATTTTGATTCCCACGTTGCTTGCTTCCATCTCTAAGTCTATAACTATATTTAGACAAAGATATTTTAAAGCTACAACTCTGCACCTTTCCACGTTTCCTTATCTTTATCACAGGGGCTATATTTTACTAGAAATATGAAGCTTGTAAAGACAAGTTCCTGCCACTATGATGGAGTCCACTAGGTCATAAGAGGGCTGGTGAAGGATTAACAGACATCCTTCTGATGTTGATATTTTTAAGTCCACTCCTTCGGGACAGTCTAGAAATTTATCTCCAGATGAACCACAGCTGGAATTTCTGCAACCACTATTACAATATAGGGACAGACCCTCTAAAGAATATTCCCTTACTGGATAAGATTGTTAGCTAACGGTCTACAAGACCGTTGGTGGAGATGGCATGTATACTTGGGGGACTGTGATCCAAGCAATCTAGGAGGTTCCATTGCAGTTTCTGTGGTTGACTGATGTGACAATGTGAATGTACAGAGGAGACATGAGTGGCAGTTCAGAGTAATTTTTTTTAAAATAAAGATTATCTTATTAAAAGCCATTCCATTCCTAGTTCGTCTTTTTGTGTCACAGAATGAGACATTCCTTTTAATTAGGCTGTCTGGTGAAACCACAGTTGTGACTTGCCTTCACACTGACGGTGGTAAGAAGGAATTTCCCCTTGACTACAGAATGTCCTATTAAACTAAAATGGAAGAATTTGGGGGCATTAGAACATTTGTACCAAAAGGATCTACTTCCTCCCCATGCTGAACAGAGAGGTGCAAACATAAGCTGAGATGGGTCTATGACCCCCTAAGGGCTTTGGCTGGAGAGGGGGATAAAAATAGCAAATACCACATCCAGCTTCCCTTTGGGGATTCTAGGAGCCCCCAGAATCCCCAAAGGCACTGCATCACTCACTCTGCAACCCCAGAGCACACACAAGATCTTTCTGTTATAATCATTTTCAAAAACCACTGAAAACAGTCATAAATACAGGCCTTACTCAACCAAAAACCTTTTAATGGCATGCTTCTTTTTGTCAAGTCTCATATTTTGTGTGTGCGTACAAAGCATTGCCTCACCCCCCACCCTTTTAAAAAATTGTATTGACTTGTTTAGAGAAACCAGGATTTGTCCTATAGAGTGTCCAACATTATGGATTTGGCAGTACATTTCCCTTGGTTTCTTGCTCCTGTATCACCAATATTTCCCTGTAATCTGGCAATATGATAGTAAGATCTAGAGGCTTGACTAACTTCAGGTTCACATTTTTTTTCTCCAATAATACTTCATGGAGGGGGTGTGCTTCTTATTGCATCATATCAGGAAGCAAATAATGTCTACAGCCAAACTTTTATGGGTGTTAAAATTATTTATGAGTTGGGAGACATTAGCCTGATTCCCCATGACAGTGTTCCCTAAAAACCTTTTATGCAATAGTTTCAGTATCCGTTACCTAGATTCTTACTTTCATTAGGGGCATTTTCTAACATTTTAATGTATCGTATAAATTAGGTGGAATTCTATGAATAACTTTCATATACCTTTTCCCCTATGATAGTTTTTAAAGAATATACAAAAATAAAAAGGATAAACGCTTCACTCTTTCTGTTAATTCATCAGTTTTCTAAGTAATGAAATAATGCCCTCCAAAAGTTACCAAGGAAGTGTGTGTGTGTATAATTATGAACTCAGATTTTTATATGTTTATGTATTTATATATATCGTGGTCATTATTTGTTTTGATGCTCATATTGTCTCATTTTGGGTCACTAGGAATTCCTTAAAGTTACTCTCCTGTTTTTGTGATATGATTCATTAGTCTTTGATAACTTCTTTGATTTCTAGAATAAGATGGCCCAGGTTCACCTTACATATTTCCTACCCCAGAGCTGGATTCAGAAATTTCTCCTAAGGGCCCTGATTCACTTTAGTGAAAAATAGTATTGAGAGACCATAATCTGGATGAGAGGTGTACTTATTGCCACTGAGTTGTCATTGCTTCAAGGACTTTTCAATGGAAAGGTGGGAAATACATATTATTTTTTGATAAAGAAGATCAATGATGAGTTTATGCTAATATTTCTAATTCCAATTTAAAAGTTTTTTCATTTATTTCATTTCTTTACCTTTTTACTTAATTTCTTTAATTTTATGCTTGTATCTCAGTTTCTCTCAACACTGAAAATCTTGACTTCTAAAGAAATGTAAAAACTTATGTTTTGTTATACAACATATAGCATAATATAGTATTCTAGATATAATTGGTTTAAAATAACCACACTGATATTACTAGCAATAGTAATAAGACTACTAAATGCATTTTCAGATTTCTTCAGAATTTTTTGGACCCTTAGACTACATACCCCAAAAGATATATGGCCAAAATACTAATTTTGAAAGTCACTGAAAATAATTATATGTCCTTTATGTAATTATGCCATGATTTGATGTTCAATTGGGTTCAATTGTTTTGGTTTGTTTTCAGTGTTTAAAGGAATTGCTTTTTCTTTTTGATTTAATCTTGGTTTTTAATTATGTGAAATATTAACATGGTCCAAGATCAAAACTATATAACAAGGTACATTCACTTAAATTTTATCTCCATACCTATCCACTCCTCTTTTCCCTCCCTCCCACTATAGGTAACTATTTTTATTATCTTTCCATCTTCTGTGATGTTTGTGTGTATGTGTGTTTATTCATAGGCCCTGTTTTTAAAAATGTATCCTAGGGTCAGATGATATCCATATATAGATTTTCTGCTCATTCCTCATCCATAATATCTTCAACCAATCCCCTGTTGATGAGCATCTGATTTGCTTCTAGTTTTCAGCATCTGTCAATGTCCTCAGACATATAACTATTTGTCAAAATGACATTGGGATAGACTTTTAAATGAGGGATTGTTCAAGCAAAGGTCAAATATATTTGCAATTTTGCTAATATCAATATGTATACACAAACATATACATGTGAGTAGAATAGATAGATTAAGAAAAATAAAGAGACAGAAAGAGATAGATATCTCCTCTGCCCCAGAGGAGAATATTTCTGATTCTAATAAATTGACTAGCTTTTTAATTCAGTCAAAAAAGTTATCTTTTAAATAAATCCCCTTATTAATTTATCACACTGCAATCTAACAATCAAAATGGGAGTGTTGTTAGTAGTGTCTACATAATAATACTTGTAATATTTTTTAAAGTGTTAGTAAATTTGCAACTTTGTCTTTTTGAGCCTAAAATATAATCCAGCTTTTAAAAGCAAAATGAAATACACTTGCTAGTCCTTTTTATGCTGAAATATGTTAAAAGCACATGATTATATTACCTTACGCTATTTCAGTTACTGTCATCTTCGGAAATCAGGAATATCAACCCCAAGATCTGGGTGCGTCATATTTGCTTTTTTATATCTTTGCTTTTATGTCTTATGCATGGCAAGAATTTAATCTCATAAACAGTTAAATAGTGAATTAAAAATGATAGATTCACATTTGAATAGCAGCTAGTTATATATAAGAAGTACACAAAAAAGTGACTTTTATCAATAAAAACTGGTGAATAAATCTCTAATGACTTGTTTCCTCATGCTACCATATTACTCTTCACAAATAACCATAAAGACAAATAAGCATTCACAAGATGACATACAAAAATTGCTTAAAATTGCTTCTTCTGAATTTTCAGCCTTCTACTGGCAAAAAGCAGCTTTGGCATCTTCTTACTCTTTTCCTTCTTCAAGGCTAAAACCAACAAAATAACAATCAAAATCATATGTCTCCAGTTTGTAGGCTCACCATAAGTCACCATTTTCAATATGCTTATGAGCTCACCTCATCTTATTTTTAACGATTGTAAAGTCGGCTAAACTCATTATATACTGAATAAAATTCTACTTTTAAAATACAAAGATACAGCTATTGTCTACTGTAGCTAGCCAGTATGAGCATTTTGACGAAACTGATTAGCACAAAAGTGCTATTTACATAGAAATAGTCCAGAAATGGCAATTTGCTATTAGTAAAATGGATACATAAAAATATAATTTTGCTTGTGAATTATTTATAAAGTTTCCCTAAAAATTGAATTAAAAAAAACTCACTACCTTTTGCACAAACATGTTTGCAATCTTTCTTGTTAACAAAGTTATTTTCATTCCCTCCGCAGCCAGTGTAAGTGAAGGCCTCACAGGTTTTGTGTCTTGGATTAAAATAATAGCGAGTCACATTAGCAGAGCATATTCCCTCATCTTTTGGACTGTAGCAAAATGATGGACCTTTATAAAAAAGCAAATAAAATTAGAAATGCTATAATACCAGAATTAATAAACTGTGATGATTACTGAAGTAACTAAGGAAAATCTAATCCTACAGAAGCCTCATTCTGAATCCAAAATATCATATTAAACCATTTAAAAAGGTGTGCCTCAAATTGAAGATAAGCTTACATACTATATTTTGGTAATTATACATTTTTATAAAATGGATAGAATTTATGTTTTTGTATCCTTTAAATGTGAAAAGAAACTACACCCAAAATACAGATATGTCCAGGTAAAAATGGGCTAAATTTCAAAGGATTAATGTATGACAAGCCTTGGTAAACTTTCTTGTATTGGTAGTTTTATTTTAAATGTTTTTAATCAGCTCCCCTTCCATTATTAATCAAGAATACATATACCTAATTTCCAGGTAACCACTGTAACATTTACATCTATATAAACAACTTAAGAAAACATCAGGAGCAACTACCTCCCCATTAATTCAAGATTTTGTACATTTCACCATAGAGCTTTATCAAAGTCTCCGACAAAACAAGGTTTTTTGGTTTGTTGAATCTTTTAATCTGTGTGTATCTGGTGTATCTGGGGGAAATGTCTGTATTGTCTTTCTCCAGAAATATTAAATACTGTGCAAGTAACCCATCATTTCAAGGATGCGGTGTGGTGATGGGATAAGGTAACAAATGGAGAGGCGAGAAAAGGAATTTAGAGATTTCTTTGTGCTGCAGTTTGCAATTACTGAAGAATACAGACACCTAACCAAAAACTTTAGAAATATTCACCATCTTAATTCTTTATATATTCCATTATCTCATATGTATAACTGATTCTGTACAAACCTGAGGTCATAATATTCATTAATGGATACTGTAATTTTTTATGTATAAATTGAGTAAATTAGAAATAGTTCTAAGAAACAATGCAGAAGAGACAGCAAATATTTGAATTATGGCTTTGTCACTAACCAGCCCTGAGAAATTAGAAAGTCATTAACTTTTCCTTGTTTGTATCCTTACAATTAAAAATGGAGACATACTACCTCCTCATAGGGCAACAGTGTAAAGATTGATATTGTATCATATGCGAAATCACAAGAATGAAAACCATGTTAATTTCACATCAAATTGAGTTTTTTCACCCAAAAGTCTTAATAAAGAAACGAAACAGAAATACTATATTTACTTTTCTTTGGTGCACAGAAGCTCATACAAGTAGCTTCATCTGGAAACCGGTTCTCATTTGGCTGACATCCACCAAATAAGAATTTTTCACATGTCATGGAAGTTAGATTGAAGAAATACTCTTCTATGGATTCCCCACACCAGTTCTCGCTGACTTCCAACCGGCAAACTTTGGGAACTTCTAGGAAAAGAAAGACAATAAAACAGTGTTAGTCAAAAGTAGCCTTCTAAGTATTGCTTTCAAAAACTTCACTGTATTTTCAGAAACAACTGGGGAAAAAAGTCATCCCAGTTAGTGCTGGAATAGTAAATCTCCAAAAGAATGCCCACGAATATGGTGATTTAGCTTTTTTGTTTTTTTTTTAAACAGAGTGGATCCAGACCTGACTCAGTTGTGATGTATCTTTCAAGTTTAGTGGAAAGACTATGTTCTCTAATGGTGTTTTCTGATTGTTTGTACATATGAAGTCAATCAAAGCTTATTTACATGAACACACATTTCCCTCTGGCTGAGTTCCTTGAATGGCAAAGCCCTGTGTTCTGTTACAGGCCTTAACAAATACAGTAAAAATTTAAAAATAAAGTAAAATAGAACACAGTATTGTGAATCTCCACCATATTTCTAAACAAACCCAAGATATGTTTGGATATCAGGGGACAAAAGTAAAGTTACATAATTAGCTAAATCACATGTTAATAATAAAATCACTCTAAAAAGTATTCCACATTGATAATCGACAGGAGAAAATGTGTCCTCAAGGAGAGATTAAAAAACAACACAAAACATAGGTTTGGAACTAATAATAAATGCAGGAAAACACTTACGATACACTTCATATATTTTTCCCTCGCATGTATTATGCCCTATGGTGAAGTAACAAATCTTTCCCTGCGTCCACTTGGGCACTGAATTACGATAAATGTCAGGAGAGAGAAAATGCGTTAGTGGTTGTAATCTTGTGATTACTTTAGAGAAACTGCAAACCACGGGGCTTGGCTAATACTTGAGAAAATTCAAGCTAAAACTTTAGAAAGCAAGAGCCGGAAAGCCAGCTAAGTTACTCCCAGCCTTGTGCGCAAGGAGCGGCGCGCGCGCGAGCACTTACTCTCTATCCTCCAGCAAGCTTCCTCACAGGCCTCCCAGGTTTCGAAATTGTTGGCGTTGCCCTCGCAACCCCCGTACATGAACTGGCGGCAGCTCTGCGTGTACCTGTCATAGTAGTAACTGGGAACTTGGGCCCGGCAGGGCCCTTCGTCCAGGGGCAGGAGGCAGATCTCCGCGTTATTTCCTACAGGAGGGACAGAAGGAGAGCGAAAGAGGCGGGAAAGAGTTCAGCTGTATCTCCTAGGAGGGAGAGACATCGGGGGAGTTCTGTCCCCGCCGCTGCAGAGAGAGAAAGTGCGAAGTTGGGCGGGAGTGGGGCGCGCGCCAGGGGACTGGGGCAAGCGGAGCGGAGAGAGCGGGTGCAGGGGCTGGTGGCCTGGCCTGGAGGAAGCCGGGGGCGAAGAGAGGCTCCTGGACTGGCCGGATACCTGCGGACGTCTGAGCGGCATCGCCCAGCGCAGACCCCCTCAGGAGCAGCGGCAGGAGCAACAGCCCCAGCGGCCGAGCAGGGTCCATGGCGCAGGAGGGGCGGCCCGCGGGGCGGGAGGAGGGTGCGCGGCGTCCTGCCTCAGGGCGGACTGGGTGCGGGCGCGCACGGTGCCCGCTTTAAGTGGGGTGAGCGTCCCGCCGACCCCGGCCGGGGGCGGAGTCTGCAGGGGCGGCTGATTCACGGGCTGAGGCTGTGACCCCGCCGCCCCCGCGCTGCAAGCTGTGTTCCGCGGGGAGGAATTCCCCACCAAGTTGAAAAGTTGAACTTGCCTCCCAAACTTTCTCCTGCGGCCAGGCGGGGGTGCCCAGATAGAGCGTTCGTGTCAGTGATGGGAAATCCGCAAGCTAGAGGGAAATGACCTGCGGGATGACTGAGCGAGGAAGAAGCCTGAATCCACGTCTTGAACGCATGAAGTCCGCGTATTTGAAGGGCAGTGAGAAAGTGTGAAAGTCAGGGGTCAAGGGGAGCCAGGTTCTTTGCAATAGGACCTTTAGGCTACATCAGAAATTTAAATGTGTTTATATTTAGACATATATATTTCAATCGAGTTCTAATGTACATTTAGTAAAAATTCCTAACGTATATTAAGTGTACAGTTTGATGAATTTTAACAACTGGAGAACAATCACTCCAAGCAAGAATTAGAACATTTCCATCATCACAGAAAGTTCCCTCGAACCCTTTCCCAAGTCAGTCCTTCCATCCTCAGGCTAGGGCAACCACTCTTCTGATTTCTATCACCATAGCTTAGTTTTGCCTGTTCTTGAATTTCATATAAATGGAATCATAGAGTATGCACAGTGTAGTAATTCTTTCTCACAGCTACTGTTTTTGAGATACACCTATGTCATTGCATGTATCAGTAGTTTGTTCCTTTTAATCCCTGAGTAATATTCTAACATGAATATACCACAAAAGTCCTCTTACTGGACATTAGTGTTGTTTCTAGTTTGGGGCTGTTATGAATAAAGCTGCTTTGTGTGTACATGCAATTTGTATTATTCTTGGATAAAATACTTAGATATATTATACAGAAACTGCCAAATGATTTTCCAAAGTGATTGCACCATTTTACATCCCCACCAGGCAGGTATGATGGTTGTAGCTATGTATGAAAGTCCAGAGAGGTGGCCTTGCGGGCTCCTGAGGCTTTGACCACATCAGCCCCTTCCCGCGTATTTCCTAAAATGTCAGTACAGCTATTGAAGTTCATTGCGCCTTTGACATATTAGCCTGTGACCTACTTTTTCTTTTACAAAAAAATTACACTGAAAGTTTACATGAAATATTAAAGATATTTTTGAAGAACATTTTAATGGGTTCTTTTGATAAATGGGTTTTCCCTTCCTCCCCCTTTCCTCTTGTTCTATTCAACATTCTCAAGTGAATAATTATTCTTGACTTCTGACAATACTGAGGAGAGTTTACAGGAGTTCTTTTCCAAGTTTCTGGGAAGCCCTGAAAAGTACAGGACACTTGCTCACAGTGGGATAGTCTGGGATACTTCGCACGTTATATATCCCTTGTGCTGGTTTTCAATCATCCTGATGTCATGCCGCAGAATCATATTCCTGGGAAAAGTAGCCTGGTCTGGAAATGCCATCAGCTTAAATTACCAGACATCTATGATTAAGACTGAAAGTCAGAGATACAAGGGTAAATGTTTAACTACCAGTTCTACAGAAGGGAATAGAAGGAGGGGCAGGGAGGGGGGATGGTTTGTATAGTTTACTGATTTCCATGGTATAAATCCTCTCACTAAAGCCGATTTCAAACGGCCACCACAGAGTCACTGAGTATAAATTTGAGAAGAGATGTATATAATCAGTTCTCCGGAGCCAGAGCGAGTGTGAGCTGGCTGACTGACACATTCAGAATAGAACAGATTAGACCCTCCCAATGCCTTCTAAATATTAGGGGAAGGAAATTTTACCAAGCATTTAGCCAGGATCATGTTCAGGAAAGAGTTACCTTCAAATTCACATATTCCCATACTTCTGAATATGATTAAATGTACCTTTATACTGGACTAAAATAAAATTCAGGGACTGATACTGAGTCACAACTGCCATCCGGCATTGACTACTTTCAGTTCTCTTCTTTGTTCTCAGCTGCTGGATGCTTTTTGATCATCTTTTGCTTGTATAAAAAGATGAACCTTTTAAATCAGGGCAGATATTTAGGGCAATTGCATGGTGCAATGGGGAAATAGACTTGGGAGTCGGAGAAGACCTGGGTTTTATTCCTTGCTCCTTTATAAGTTACTTAAAACTCTCTGAGCCTCAGTTTCCTTCTCTAACAGACATAATGACTCTACCTCACAGATGTGTTATGAAGATTAAGTGGAAAGTGCCAATGCTCTCAAAGGGATTGTTTCAGCCCCTACGTGATGGCACAGAATCAGTCCATCCAGATCATTCCACATCCCAGTTTACATTGAGAGCCTTGGAGCAAGATTTGATATGAGCATAAACTCCCAACAGGAAACAGGGCAACATGAACTGGCCTTGTAGGACTCAAACCCGTGGCCTTGCTCCAATCAGCTCTTCTCTTTGGCTGAGCACAGAGGCTACCTCTGTACCTAGGAAGGTGTCATGTCAATGAGACAGCACTTTGTGGTGTCTCTTCTAGAGGAATGAGCTTCAGGGTGTTCTCAGCCAGAGCAGAATACTCAGTCCACTTGGGGCTGCTGTGGGGGCACAAACAGGCCTCTCACCTTTTTGTGGTGTAGTCTGTATACACAGTTGGAATCAGTGCCCAGAGAAGTGCTCTGGAAATGTTAGTTTCCTTCTCTTTTTCTATGCCAAATAGGATGCATCTTACACCTCTATCACTCCTGAGGGAGGAGGGAGAGTTGAACAAATGGAATAGTTAGAAGTTTGATATTGTCAAGCTAGGTTATTAGGAAGAAAATTATTCCTCTTAACTGCAGAACACTTGAGTGTTTTTATATCCATGAAAAGGACATCTTCTGATATAAAGGGAATCTAAATTTCCTGGGAACTACTTTAACGTTACTGAATCTACACTTAGGACGTTCTGGAAGGGGCAAAGTGACCAGCCTCCAGAGGGGTGTCACAGCACTTTTGTCTCCTTAAACCAGCATACAGGCCAAAAGGTTACCGCAAAAGGAAAATCATTCCTTTCTCCAAAGTCAACAGGAAGTGCAAAGCTGGAGGCAACTGGGAAAAACAAAACAGTCATCCAGACTGACTTGTCATTGCTATACCAAGTGACGGTTTAGTGGCTGTGGCTAAAGTCTGAGTCTCAAATAGTTTAAAATTATGTAAAATAAGTCATGAAATTCTTATAATTTGAATGCTGAATGGAACTGTAAGTATGCCCATTTTACAGAGGTCTGAACTGAGATAAAACGTCTGCTCATGTTTACCTACCATGGTTGTTGTCAGAGCTGAGACTGGAACCCACAGTTCTTGATTCTCAGTCCTGTATTCTTTCTAACACACCTGGGTGGCCAGTGCTCTTCCTGCCACACCAAGACCTTAGAGTAGAACACAAAATTCTGGAATAAAAAATCACAAAAGCTACAGTGAGTCCAGAAATCCCTCTGCACGTGTCAGATCTCTACCTTTGATCTTTCTCACAGCCCCTTGGCTCCACAACAAATGGATATAAACTTGATTTCAAACATATTAGCCTCTAGCATTACCAAGCCTTGAGAATCATCGCCCTATCCTCTGAGATCCCCACAGTCTTGGTAGATTACCAAGAATTTAAAGAAGGGATTTAGGCAGATGGTATTCCTCTCTGTCAAACACCTTGGAGAAAGGTGGCGTGTTTGGTTCACAAGTGAATGACAAGAATTAATTTAGCCCAATGATTTGGGGATACACATTATATAACATAGTCATTTAAGGAGTTATACTGATAACTGCTTAATAAGAAAAGACAGTTCTTGCTGCCTGTTAGTTTAAGCCCTGTCAAAATAAAATCTGAAATGAGTCCAGCTGGCACAAACGGGAGTTTACACATCTGCTAAGGAAGGCGGTTAATCACTTCTGAGAGATAAATGGTCATGAGGGTTTTGCTAAAATTTAGGCAACTTCTTCACCAACTAGGCATTTTTCTAGCTAATTGGACCATATAGGAAACATTTACTCTAATGTGCCCTCTGTTAGACAGAGAGTGCATTTAAGAGTGTTATATAATAAGATGAAGCCATATGAAAGGACGGGACATTCTCTATGCCTAATTTTATTATTCTCCTTCCCCCTAGAAATAAACAGATAACAAGGGTATATAATGTGTCTTTTACTGTGATTATTCTTTTATTCACTTACTTAAAAAATAAACTCATAAAATGTTTAAAATGTGATAAACTTTGTGCTAGGTGTTTGGGATAAACACCCTGGATCTCACAGCATAATAGGTTAGACAGGTAAAAACTATATAACCCAGTTACAATATTCTCAGTACAATATCAAAAATATGTACCAGGTTTTAGGGGATCATAGAGGAGAAACTAAATAAAATGTAAGCATCCATGCAAACATATCTGACATCACATCTTTATGTCTGTGGAACACAGAGTCCCATTCCTTCATCAGCTGTTTGTTTTGGATGTTTGTTTCAAATGTTGTAGCTCTAGCAAAGCATTGCCTTCTGCAGAAGGGCAGAATCTCAGAAATCCCTTTCCTCTTCTTCCTGAACGTACATTCCTTCAAACGTCATCATGAGTTACTCAAGATTTGGACCATCTTTTTCTCTCTCAGGTTGCTGCATCTTTAACTGGGTATGGCACCCAGAAGGTTGGGACAAACTTTGGACAATTTTATCCAAGACCTCCCAGCACAGTGCAGCTTCACCACCTGCCCAAAATTCTAGCCTGGGTTACCAAGCTGCTGGCATGTCAAGAATGAGGAAAGGAACAGAAATTTCCCCTAGTTCCTGTATGCCATATGGAATATCTATAGCAGTATCAACACTAACAGATAGACCATTTAGCGAGACCATTTATTGCATTGTACCTTGAATTCATTAGCCCATTAAATCCCCCACAATAACCACTTGAGGGAGATATTTTACTCTCCCCACTCTGCAACGA